AGCTTATCAATTATCGATTTTCAGCAAATCGTCTAATTCTGTTTCTTCTTTAGTAATTTTAATTAATTGTAATTGCGAAGTACAATAGCCATTTATTCACCAGAATTTGTATCCTCAATATTTAATTGCTGATTAATTTAAAGAGCAATAATGGCATTAATTGGAGCGATAGCCATATAGTTTGTTTTAATTTGAACTTATCAAATATCGATTTTCAGCAAACTTCTTGGATTGTAAGGATACATTTAAAAATTTGTGGACACAATTCATGACTAACGCATTCTTTCCGTTGATACATTCTTCTTCATGTCCGGCTTATTAGTATCGTATATTTGGTTCAAGGAATACCGCAAAGACAAGAAGAAAGTAATGTCACCTACCGCTTGGCTCTTATTTTACATCCATCGAATAATTCGGTATCCATTCTTATACCTTTTATATGATGAATACTTAGACAATAATTATACATCTGATAGTGAAATCTTACTAATAATTATAAAGGAAACAAAGATCAAAGGTCAACTACTACTTTTTCCAAAAGTTTTCTCGGCTAATCGAATATTTACAAGTTTATTTTAACGAAAAAACTGATGGCTATTAACATTTTACAGACTTTCGCCACCTTATTATATTGTGATAGCATTTTATACATTTGTATTCAAGTCATTCCTGGTTAATATGCCGGTCGTTTTAATGACAACTGATGATTATTGCGAGGAAAGTTGGTGGACCAATTTCTTGTACCTCAATAATTTCATTCATTACAAATATCAAGTACGTTTATCTACTACACACTGAGGATATCAAATCGATAGATGTAACAGATAGTCTTATGAGATAAATCAACACATTGACATCATTAAGATACGGATAATGGAACTTTCGAATTAGAAAGATAAATATGATAAGTGAAGAAATATATTTATTGATTGGATTTAATAAGTAATTAAGTACGCATCAAGTTATTCAGTGCTATTTGGTTTCATGGTATCTGGCAACAGATTTTCAACTCCACATTTTCGCACCAATATTACTGATACCATTAGCTTTGAAACCCATGTTGGGTTATATTACAGCTAGCTTAATTATACTGCTTTCAACTGCTGCAAATTGGGTGACAGTGTACAAGGAATACTTCCCACCAACGGATTTCTACATAGGTACCATGGATCCTAGAATGGGTTCATACACGTTTGTTTTTAAAACATTTGAAAATAGCATAATGAGAAATATTCGACTTTTCAAATGCAAAATTTTCGATTCAATTAAACTAAAGATTGCTACCGATACATTCATATCGAAAATATCTTTACAGACTGAAAATGACACTGGACTGAAAATATAAAAATTAAATTCATAAGCAAAACCAGGAAATCACAACTTTATTAATATTAGATTGATGATTGTAAATTCTGCTATTTTAGACGTTACTCACTTCTGATCTATCAAGCACCTTGGATCCGATGTCAGGTTTATATTATAGGTATTCTTGTTGGCTATTTGTTCCAAACAGTGAAAACTCTTCACATATCAAAGGTTACTTCACATCAAATTTTATCCCTTTTTTCAATCTTTGATCAGTCATTACGAAGTCCAAAGACAATTAGCTGATTTATTAGAAATTAGAGGTGGTAAATACCATGGGAAGTTTAAATAACTAATTTTCAATTGGTTGATTGTTCTATTAAT